GTACGGCGGCGCCGCCGTGTGAAGCGGCGTTGTTAACGCTAGAGCTGACGGAAAAAGGAAACCCTCCCGAGAAGTACCGGGCGTCTTGGGAGTCGCGCTGTTCCTCTGGGGAGGCGGTCAAGCTGGCAGAAGTAACAAAAAGGAAACAATTTGACTCAGATCTGCCTTTTCTTTCTGTTTTTTTCCTTCCCTCCTTCTCCCCACTGCCTTTAGACCACCCAGAGATACAAGAAAAAATTTACCGACGGGACGATAGGCTCCTCACCTTCTTAAAAGATGTTTATGTCGAGTCCAGAGATCCACCTGTGCGGGTGAGTATGTCTCTCGGTAGGAGGCACACCAGCATCAGCTTTGTGGTTTTCAAACTCAGCACAAATTCTATATAAAGAAAAATGCTCTGTTAGTGCCTAAAAGCTACCTTTTTTATAGGTAAAAGCAATGTTTTCATTACTCTTTTATATATCAGTAGCACTGACTGTGGTTGACCCTGGGTCTTGGAACATGTGACGGATTGTGATTATACAACCTTTTAAACGCTTACGCAGTCTTCCCTTTTAATGTCACGTTGATCTTACTTTGTTTTTCACCTAAATTCCCACTTCTGCCTCCTCTAAGGCAGAAGGACTGTTGGCCAGCCTTTTGCAGAGATGCAGGAGTTTGCCAGAGATCTCGTTGTCAGGAGAAAAGAGATTAGGACTACTGTGGGAGCATGGATGTGGTAGAGGACAAAGACATTAACATTTTACTGGAGTCTTTAACTACTGAAGTTAATGTGCAGAGACTTTTCCTTATGCAGCCAAGGAAGTGCCTTAGTTAGTTTTTTTTCTGCATAACCTTCTGGATCGTTTGGTGATCAGTTTCCTCATTGCCAACGGCTCTGCAGTCTTTGACTTGGAAGGCAAAGCATAGCCCTTCCAGTAAGATGCAGACTGGGGTTCAGTCTCTTTTCCACCATGTTACGTTATGGCTTGTGCATTTTACCTGTTGCATTATTGGACCACTTTAATCTAGCTGCTTTATTCAGTAATAAAAGTTTTATAATCATCTAGCAATAAAATTCCTAAGTCTCTCTAATTTGTCACTTTCGTAGTACCTTGTATTCAAGACTAAAAGTATTTAAAAATGCAAACAGATTTCTGCAGTCTCTCCCTGAAGTTTCCAAGTAAACTCTACCTTAATTTTCATAATTGAGGTTGGGACTCTAATCTTGAAGTGCTGAAGGTCTAACTTCAATATCTTTCGATATTCATTTGTAAGCCTGTCAAGAGAGATTTGAGAAAAAGCCACAAGTGGAACAAATCTTAGTGCTTGATTCCCGTGCCTACTCTGAGGTTGCTGCCACGTAAGACTCGCTCTTGTAGTGTGTCTACTTGCAGTTGTTAGGAAGAGCATGACTAATGTGTCTGCATGGAGGCTTGTGGGCAAAACTTCATCCAAAAGCCTCCTTCCTTCCCTGACGTTATTCTGAATACTTTGTGCATCGTGTATGTATACATACCTATATGTATATTTGGTATGTCTGTCTGTGTAAGTGGAAAAGCACCAACTCTAAGTCCTGAAGTGGCAGATACCCAGAGACAGATCATTTTATTAAGACTTGAAAAATTGTTCATTATCTGAGCACAGTTTTAGCACGAAGTAAAAGGAAGAAATGGAGAACTGGTAGCATCATCAGACATTCTCTGTAGTTTAGAAACAGAGATGCAGTTATAGATGCTGCAGCATCCACATCAGTTTTCTCAGCTTGTGAGTTAATACCGAGTGTCTGTGGGCTAATCAGTGGCTGTGGACTCTTGATAACTTTAAAAGTACTTTTTCTTAAATTTAAGAGAGGTTTTCATTGTGTCTTTTTTGCAATGTCATTCACTGCTTAAATCTTAATAAAAGGCAATATGGGGAAGGCAGAGCTGGTTTGGAAATGACTTGGAAATAACGAAGGGACTCGGGAGAAGAGACTTCACGTGTCTGAACAGTGCAGTAGTCATGGGAATTAAACTCCATATGACGCTGCAAAATAGTTTCTTTTTGCCCAGCAAAGCTTGTTCTCTAGACAGAGCAGAAGAAGGGATATCTTTTAGTTGCAAAACTAAAATCTGAAAAGGAAAGGAAGGGGAGAGAGACTACATGAAAAAGATTTCCAGTGGTATCAGAAGAAGGATACCAATTTGTAGTATGATTTTTCTTTTTTTCCCTTGCCGTGAATCAGTACCAAATATTAGCTTATCTGCATTTAATGTTTGGCTACCAAAATCTGTAGTTTGCTTCGTACGAAGGGCTGCCGAGTCTGTACAAGACTTAAGAGTTCAATGGATGGTAGCTTTTCAGAATTTGGGTGCGGGTTGACATCGTACGTAGCATGGCTGTGGAAGAACTGACAATTTTTGTGATACCAAGAAGCAAGGCTGGCTAAGCATTATTATTTTTTTTAATGCTGTGAAAAGGGGGGAAGCTAACAGGAAATGCCATATTTAGGAAAACAACTTGGCTGCTACAGTATGCATAGTAAACAGAACTGCTGTTAAGCTCTTTTTGTTTTCCTTCCCACAATTAGGTGAAAGATGGAGGTGGTGAACATCTTCCATGTAAACAGGAGGAAAAGAGACTTACAAAACTAGGCCACTTGGGAGATCTAGATGTTAAGAAAGTTCCCAAAGGCAAAATTTCCATTGTGGAGGCTCTGACACTTCTTAATAATCATAAACTTCATCCTCAAATATGGACTGCAGAGAAAATAGCAGTGGAATACAGTCTGGAACTGAAGGAGGTCAACTCTCTTCTGGAATTCTTCATTCCTTTCGCTGTGCAGGAATTTCCTAAAGAAACCAAAAAAGCTATAAAGCCAACATAAAAATAATTACCAAAACCTTGTGTGATCTCACTTGTGTCTTAATTTTACTCTTGAGTATACCCAGTGTCTGAAAAGAGTCGGTAACACGTCATCCAACAAGGCTGCTTCCTTATACCAGTAAGATGTATTCAAGCAATTCCATTCTATATTGGATCGCTTCAGTTAAATGCAGCAATTATAGGATACAGTTTGTAAACCAGAATATAGCTAATAAGTTGTGTGAGAGCATGTCACATGATTCTGATTATCCCATTCATATGTTATGAGTTCAGTTAGAACACCCAAGTTCTAGTGAGAACTTTACCTTAACAGGTTGCCTTTCTTAGCAGAGACTTCCTGGCTTTCAGCTAAATCAGTGCTCTGTGTGTATTAGCGCCGCAGTTTCATGTTACAGGGTTCTTTCGAGGACTTGCTGTCAAGGTGTGTGTATATACAAACAGCTGTATTTCTTTTGTATAAGAATGGAATAGTATTTATACTTTGTAAAGAAGGCTAACCACAAGGTCATTTGGGAAATTCAGCTGTGCCAAACTTAAAATAAAAAGAAGGCGAATAGCAAGAAGGCCTCTTTCTGATGCCGGAACAGTGACGGCTGATGTGTAGCTCCTCTTCCACTCTATTCTGATTTAGCTTAAATATCTGCACCTCCCCCGGTACTGTCTGTCAGTCAGTGAATTTGTAAAGAGCAATGATCTTCTAGCATCAGTCTCTTGCAGCAGTCTGTGGCGCCTACTGTATGAGAAATAATGGCTCATATTTTAATTAATAGGTAGCTATGAAATGCAACTGGATCTAATTGGACCCACTAGTAGGTTTTCTGTAAATGTCTGCCTGTCCTGTTACAATAGCCCTTTTTCCCTGTGGAGGCCTTGTCTGACTTGCCCAAATGCGGGCTAGATCAGGTCATGTTCACTCGCGGTAGGTTACCCACGTGCTACCAGATAGAAGATAAACAGCATCTTTTCCAGTTGTTAGTAAAGGATGACACAAACTGTGAGGTGGTAACGGTGGATTGTAACCTTCTTGATACTGTGACTATTCAGATCTGTGTATGTAAGGAAGAAGTTTTGCACTGACGATTAATACTGTAGTGAAAACAGGTTCATGTTTTCCAGATAAGCTGGGGTTAAGGGGGGGGGGGGGGGGCGATAATCAGAATCGATATTTCAAAATGCATTATGGTTGCCTTCATTCAAAAGAAACAAAAACCAAAACTTAGTTTTATGTGGCGCCAGCATTCCTAGTGCCCATCACCAAAGAAGTTGAATTTAAGAGGGTGGAAGTCAGTACCAGGCCTACAATGTAACTTTCTTTTTAAGAACTTTTCTGCCAGGTCTTAGATTCCGGACTCTAGTAAGCATCTTACCAAGAAGATGATCAGCTTTGCTATTTCACGGCAAGATTCTTCCCACTTCTCTCCCTGAGCTGGAAAAAGGTTTGCCACAACGTATTCAAGGTTTTGCTTGATTCATTTCTGAAGTACGTAATGCTGTACCTTAGTGGAAGATGACACTTAAGTACATTGTATAAAAATTGGAAATTCTTAAGTCTTTGGATGTGTGGATTGGGGATAGGCTTGACGTTCTTCCTGTAATGTAATGGGGACAGAGCTGCACTCTGAAACTAATGCATCCGAGTTATGTACCACATTAAGATTTTTTTTGTTCTCCACAAAATACTCTGTTTTATAGAATGTTGTAACAGAAATACTTTATTGTTTGAGTACTATTCATCCTAATGTAATATTTAAGGTAATATTCAGAAAACAGCTGTGGAATGCATTTGGTACAGACACTGTTGTTATCATTGGAGACGCTGTGATTTCCTTCTTTAAAAATGAATCTTTAATTAGCTATTGGAGTTGTTTAAAAACTCACTACAATCGGCACCAGGCAACAGCTTAACCATGCCCCTTGACTAACTTGGTATGTATTTTGGCTTCGTCTGCCTTTGTGAACTGTCTTGTGATGTGGCTACACCATTACAGTACCCTGTTTCACATAGAAAGTCCCTAGAGGCATTATGGTATACTACTGCTTTGCTTACACTCTTCAGCAGGCACGTGCTTTGGGACGTTCGGTGCTCATCATGTTCAATGCTCCAGCCATACCTTCAGCACAAAATCCTGTCCATGAATGAGATGATCGCAAAGCTATCCCTGGTTTCTCTGGAGCCAGGATCTCATCCTCAGAACGCATTGTCCACGGTGGGGAAGCAGGCAGGCCACACAGCACAGAGGTGGGCCAGGGATCCATCTCCCTGGAAGCAGCTGAACTCCCGGTGGCCCAGAAGGCTCCTCTGAAGGAGGGAACTTCTCCGGCACAGCGCGCTCACTTCAGGAAAATTGGATGCAATGCAGTTTGCTGTCGGCAGATAGATTCTTCTGCTGGTCACCTGCCCCGCCTGCTGGGCAATGTCAAACCAGAATTATGAAGGTATTGCTGATGGTATGGGATCATGTAAAATCTGTACCTTTATCTATCCAAATTATCCATAGTCCGAATGTTTAGCTTTTACTGTCTCTTCAGACATGGAGTGTTTTACTTTCCCAAAGCTCACAAGAAGATCCAGGAGCCTGGATCTTTTCTCTTTGCTCTGGTGGGAAAGCATGCCCCTGATCAAGCACTCAACGCTACCATCTTCCCGGGTAGGCTACTGGCCACAGCCAGCTGCAAGGTCCTTGGCAGGTGTGTGCTTAAGCTGTGTTCAAGTGAGTACGTGTTTGAAGATAACGCTGTCTTTATAGTTGATGTCTGGGACGAGACTATTCTCACTGTTGCATCTTTTCTAGAACTGCTTATTTCCTTTCTTCCAGTTTCAAGGGACTCTTTACTCATCAGTTATCTTGCCTGCTTACCAATTTCTGGTTTTGATGCCATTTCTAATTGGAAGAATAATGGTATTTTCTTTACACTTGTAACTTGCTTTTGTCTGTGTCCCTTTCTGTCTATATCCCTTTCCCGTAGCTGTTTGGCTGTCATCTTAAGGAAAAGGTACTCTTCAAGCAACTGTTTTGAAGAGGTAATTATGGGGAATTTGCGGGAACCTGCAATTCACTTTTCTGGTACTCATATCTGGAGAATTTTTCGTGTTTCATTGCCATGCATGTGGTGCACCAATTTTAGCTCAGATGTTTTTGGCCACCATATAGAATTATTACATTTGGTAGGGAACAACCTGCCTCGCTCAAACTGCTTTGTTCTTGCCGAATTAATGGAAAATGTGTAGCAGGTGAGCCTGCTTTGTGAGCCTGTAAGGGAGTTGTTTCATTTCTAGTGTAAATGACACACGGTTAACGAACTTCTTTATATGTGGCATTATTACACCAGTTTTCCAAATGTCACTGAATAAAGCCAGGGCTGCCTTAGGCACCGAGACAGAGCAAGTACACAGGGCAGGCTGAGCCTCATTTGGAAGTGAGGGTTACATTCCTGGTGAGACATAAAACTGAATTTCTTCAGGGGAGTTCCGGCAGGTATACTGGAATTCCTGGCTTGAATTTTTCCAAAAAATATTTCTTTAGGGGGAGTCTACTAGCTCACTTACCCACATTTTCTGGGACATAGTCCCGTTTCTCTAGCCTTGTTCTATCGTTAAGTCTATTCCCAGCCTTCTCCAGCCAGTCTTCTCTGCTATGAAAACTTTATCCAGCTGCACTCTTGCTCTTTACTAGCTCACATGCAAATCTTGGTTGTATTCTGCCCTTTCAGTATCAACAACTTTTTTTACTTCTGCAGAGCTCTCCTGCCTTCTAGGAGTAGCACATCTGCTGAGGTAAAGATGAGAGGACTGAGCACATGTTTTGCTCTGTAGAATTTATGAATAGGACAGATTTTCAAAAGCGATGTAGCTTTTCATATATCTTTAAAAGCCGCTCTTGGGATATGTGAAACTAAGTAATCTTGTGCTGTCTCACCGTGTATTGATCGTAGCTAAGTTCTTGCAGTCTGATGCCAAGACAGCAAGATTGGAGCTGCGAGGAAAGAGTTTTAACTCTGCTTTCTGTGCAGGTTAGTCAGAGGGAATTTCAATACAAAAAGTGATCTTTCTGTAGCCTTCCAGCACAGAGAACTTGCCTTTTAAGCTACCTCTTTTTACTCAAGGAGAAAAGAAAATGATGTTTATATGCAAGAGGTGTGTACTGAACTTACAAAATGGAATATCTTATTTCTGTATTGAAAAGTGGAGTCAAACCTCAAGTAGTCATAAAACAGGATCAAAATGCAAAAGTTTAAAAAGGTGGCTGTCTCACCTTGTTTCATATGGACATCGTGCTTTCATGTTTGAGATTGCATGAAGCTTCACGTTTCACGGCTCTGTTCTGGAGCCCCTTTCTAAATGGGAGTTTTCTGGTTCTTAATCAGGTGGTGCCAGTGTTGAACTGACAGCAGAGGAGGCCTGACCAGTGTAGGTGAGCTTCAGGTGCAAATGGATTTTGGCACTTGAGACTGTGGCAGTTGTATGCCAACTGACATGCTATTAGCAAGCAAAACACTGTGTTGGTGCCTGTTGTTATTAAATCTGTTTCCAGCAATGTACAAGTCTAATGAATTCTGTAACCTTTCACAGTTTAGGTACTGCTGTGTTGTTATCAGAGCTAAGTGTTTTCTGCTGAAAACCCCCCAAAAACATGGACGAATTTCTCTTAGAAACTTAACATTAGTTTTCTTGGTCTGAAACAGAGGCTTAGATTTACACGAGGTGATAGCAGCATTAGGTAACAGCAGCACATCTCCTGTAGCGTGCTGGAGGGAGTGCACTGCAGGAGCTCCTGCGGCTCTGTGGGGTGGAGTGGGGTTTGATATGTCTGCTGCCAGAAAGAGAATTTAAAAAAGAAATCCACCGAGGTGGTTCTTCCATGTGTGTTGTGCAAAATGCCCTTTGGGTGTGGATTACTTCAGTTGCTGAAGGTCTGTCTTTACGTGAGATGTTTTGGCCTCCTGACAGGAGTAGTGCTGCTGTATTACCCAGGAGAGAAGTGACTGGGGGCAGGATAGACCCCCCAGTCATCTCCTATGATTAAGGATTCCTTGCATGGGAATGGAAAACACATGGTGTCTTGTAGGACTGAGGCTCTCAGGCCACTACTTTTTAGAAAGCTGAGGGAGGTGATGGTGTGGCTGGAGGAATCCCTACCTTTGAAATAGTCACCCAGCGGCAGCTGCACCTGTGAGCTCGGTTCACCCAGGGAAGAAGGGATCCCACTGCTGATGAGCTGCAAATGGTGGTGGTGAAAGCTAGATTCACCCCTGCCAGGGGTTGCTCTAAGTGGAAGCCTGAATGTAAAGTTGCAGCTGGGAGCTCTGCTTATGTGAGACAGATCGGGGCTCTGCAGAAAGGACAACAGCACTGGCAACGTGGGTGCAGCTGGAGTGCAGAGCTGGTTATAATTGCCTGTGTTGGCAGAGGGAAAAGAGATAAAGGTGGACTCTTTGGAGCATTTTCTCTGAACTAAAGTATGCCCTGTTATTAATTGCACAGGGCTTTGTTCCCAGGAAAATCAACACAGCATGGTTTGTGACTCAAGCAGTTTTGACTCTATCCAGGTCACATGTTGGGTATGAAGTAGGGGCAGAACGCTGTAAGCCTGGATGGCCAGAACCATGTTGAGCTGCTGTATGGACAGGTCTGTTGGGAGTTGTACATGGCATGCATATCACACTTGATTGCCTTCTGTCTTGGTCTCCGGTGTTTGCAGCACACCACTGTAGCCTAAAGGATGCCACAGGCTTGATGGTTAGGTCTGTCTTCTTAAAGTGGGGATGTGGATTTGCATCCCCCTTAAGGTGAAGCAGAAATTGAATGTTAGGAAGGAGTCTAGCTTAGCTGTCTCCATGCCCCCCAAAAGCTGGAAACTATGGATCTTATTTTAGTTGCATAATTTCTCCGCACCATGAATTGCCTTCATGAGCACCAAGCGTAGCAGAGCTTGAGTCCCTCTTGGGGCTGAGGTGGGGCAGTGGTAGGGGCTGCAGCACAGTGGGTACAGGAAGGGCTCACTGCTGCTCAAGGAGGGAAGCCTTGCTTGTTCCTTACCACTCCTACCACTGTTCCCAGCACTACAGCCCACCTCCTCTCTTTTTGCTAGCTCAGGCAATTGGCAGACTACTTTATGAACCG